ACTATGGGATATCGAAAAATGTCCTAAAGATCTCCAATAATGGTTCAGATTCCAATTATCACTGGATCAGATGCGAATGGTGGCTGATGAGGGAGTTCGTCTAGCGAACCTCTGTAGTACTCGGATGGGACGGGCTCAGCAAGTTAGTTTATGAGCATTCCATAGCTTCTGGCTGTTCACCAGAGCTGTTTCTTATAATTCAGCCTGCAACACATTGATCTTCAATATCGGATGTTTCAGATGTGTAAAGAACGAGCGGACGCTGTGATGGCAATTGACTCATTCTTAAGAAATACTTCTGATATGGATCGGAAAATTAAAGACCTTAACAGACAGGTACCGGTTGAGAACATTCATGTGATTGGCAGCTCACTACGAAGAGGCACTTTCCTATAATGAATGTAACACAGCGCAGTGCTGTTTGTCCTTATTCTGGCTATGGTGCACGTCACTGTGAAACAACAGCGAAGCAAAGCGGAAACAACGGAAGTCCCTCTGAATAGTCATATCCTGAGTTAAGGCTACCTCAGCTGCATAGGGCACGAAAAATATTGTCAAGTAATACAACAGTATTTGCAAAGTATTATTTTTGTAGCTCTGTAGTTCTTTTACGCTTGTATTAGGTCGGCCCATAATTTTTGAGAGTAGCGGCTCTGGTTTTTGTTCCATTTTTACTATTTTATTGTGTGAGATATTTATTCACCATAATATATAAATTACCATAATTAACAACATATTGTCAATGCGTGGGTAGCTGTTTGATACCTCTCTCGTAGAACTCCACTAGCTTGTGGTCGAAGAAAGATTGGATGTCAGATTCGAGATCATGTCCGTTAGCGTAAGATTTCCTCTCAAGGAAGAGAGCTAGAGAGCGGAATAAGTGGTCATCCGTTGGGGCGAGATCAGGGCTGTAAGTATGGGTGCGGAAGCGCTGGTCCACCGAAAAAGCTTCAATTTTTTCCCTGAATTTCCGTAGCGATGTGGGGTCGGGCGTTGCCATGGAGAAAGTAAACAAAGTCTTGTTCTCCTTTTAGGTTGTTGGCGACGCGATCGAGCTGTTGACTGTAAACTTCTGCGTTGACTGTTGCATTCGTAGGTAGTACTCCCAGTGCACAACTCCTCTTGCATTCCACTAACAGCACAAAAGAATCTTTCTTTGATGAGGTTTAGTTCTGACTGTAGGAACTCGGTTGTTGGGGCCAAGCCACTGCGTCTATTGATTGGTTAACGAACAGTACCCACTCATTCGCCGGCAACTGCTTTCGAAAGCCATCGGAGTCCGTTGAAGTTCAAAAGAGGCCGACCATCTGTCGTGAGGTCTGCCTCGACTGTTCGCGGCTACACAATCGTACCCTAAGTTACCGTTTCAGGAGGGAAGCTATGTATAAAAGTCACCTAGGTAATAATGCAGGCGAGCTCATCCGTATACAAGTCATTCTAGGAGTGACGAGTCGCCGCCGTCCCCTCCTACTTTACTGCTGCCACCGTCAAACTCTTGAGCTCTCGCCCTCTCGTGCAAGAACTGTTGTATTCATTCGTTGGTACTGAAGTCATGATAAACACCTCTAAACTCCGGCACGAGATCGAAACCTGAGATCTTATCGCCACCTCTTTCCTGTCAGCTTCAAAAGCTCTCATGACAACCAGCAACCTCGAGCCGGTTCCAAAGTTGACTTCGTTGACTACCTATACCAAATTCAAAAAGGAGAGGCTCGCTACTATTCAAACATCAGAGATGACTATGGGATATCGAAAAATGTCTTAAAGATTTCCAATAATGGTTCAGATTCCAATTATCACTGGATCAGATGCGAATGGTGGCTGATGAAGGAGTTCGTCTAGCGAACCTCTGCAGTACTCGGATGGGACGGGCTCAGCAAGTTAGTTTATGAGCATTCCATAGCTTCTGGCTGTTCACCAGAGCTGTTTCTTATAATTCAGCCTGCAACACATTGATCTTCAATATCGGATGTTTCAGATGTGTAAAGAACGAGCGGACGCTGTGATGGCAATTGACTCATTCTTAAGAAATACTTCTGATATGGATCGGAAAATTAAAGACCTCAACAGACAGGTACCGGTTGAGAACATTCATGTGATTGGCATCTCACTACGAAGAGGCACTTTCCTATAATGAAATGTAGTGCTGTTTGTCCCTAGTTGCTATGGTGCTAATGTCACTGTGAAACAGACGAAAGCAAATGGAAACTAACGGATGTCTTTATGCGCTATCGCTATTACGAACTCAGGCTACCTTCGCTGCATAGTTCACGAAGAATATTGCTAAGAACAACAGTAATTGCAAAGTGTTACATTTGTAGCTCTGTAGTGCTTTTACGCTTGTATTAGGTCGGTCCATAATTTTTGAGAGACTTTGGCTGTTTTTCCATTTTATTATTTTCTTATTTGTGTGATATATTTATTCACATAATATAAATTACAACATACGCAACATACTGCCAACGCGTGGGTAGCTGCTTGATACCTCTCTCGTAGAACTCCACTGGCTTGTGGTCGAAGAAAGATTGGATGTCAGATTCGAGATCATGTTCGTTAGCGTAAGATTTCCTTTCAAGAGTGAGCTAGAGAGCAGAATAAGTGGTAATCCGTTGGGGCGAGATCAGGACCATAAGGTGGGTGCGGGAGAACGGTCCATCCGTAAGTCCTTAATTTTT